AATGATGTCTATCTAGAGTACTTAAGAAGCCGTGCATCACTTCTTTTAGGTACTTATAGAAAAAAAACACGCCAAAGGTGTGATCAAGAGCTGGAAAGTCGCGACCATCGAGATCCACGGAGGAAGTTACTCCCCAGTGACACTATGTCGTTGGTTTCGCTATCCATTGAAAATAATTCCTCTTTAATATAGCCGGATTCATCAGTGAACAGAGTTTAGAGTGTCAATCACCTCTTTACCTCAGCTTCATCGACTTTTAAAAGGCCTTCGACAGAGTTGATCTAGAAGGTGATTTGGCAACTACTTCGTTACTGCGGGATGCCGTCAACAATTATACACCTTACCCAACAGTTATACGACAATGCTGAATGCCAAGTAATTCACGACGGGAAACTCAAGGAATCTTTTGAAGTGAAGACGAGATTAACACAAGCTGGCTGCCTACTATCTGCAATGGTTTTCATGATTGCGGTAGACTGGACAATGTGACAGACAGCGGGCAAAGATGAAACAAGCATAAAATGGACCCATAAAAAACACTTGGAGGGTCTGGACTTCACCGATGATATATATGTCTGATTTCCCACAAACTGGAATATATGCAAAGGAAAAGTAACAAGTTGGCAGAAGAAGCATCCAGAGAAGATAAGACTTCAAGTGAACACAGAGAAGACATACTTTATGAAGATTCTCGGACAACAGCAGCAGCCACAACAACACACAACAATCAGCCAGCATAAATGGAAGATATCTGAAAGAATCAACCTCCTTTACCTACATACCTACCTGGGAAGCATCATTCCAACTACAGGAGAATGGAACTGACGAGGATATCAAAGCGAATATCGGGAAAGTAAAGCAAGCTTTCATTACTCTCAAGTCTGTGTGGAGATCAACAGTACTTACCATGAAAAATAAAATCCTGATTTTAAGCTCGAATGTGAAGTCAGTGCTACCCACTATACGGATCAGAGACTTGGCCAGCGCGTCAAAAAGAGCATCTCAAACAACTTACAGACCTTCATTAACAGTTGTCTTCGCTAAATACTCAAGATCAGATGGCTGGCCAGAAAAGATCAGCAACAGGGATCTCTGGCAATGAGCGAACCAACCCAGCAGGAACCGATTGTGAAACAAATAGGCAGGAAGAAATGGAGATGGATTGGCTGGTCATACTCTGATAGAAACCATCAAGTGACATCACACACCAGAGCCGAATGGAATGCAGCGAGTTGTTGGTCATTGCGAGGGTGACATGGAGGAGGTCATTTGAAGAGGAGATGAAAGTATGTGGGCAGACTTGACGCGAGGTGAAAACGTTGACAGAGAACTGAATGCAATGGAGACTTTCGGCTAAATCCCTATGTTCCTCTAGAAATTAAGGGAAATAATAACAACAATAATAATGGTTAGTAATCCAATTCCGAATGCTCATTTCGTGCCATCTTGGACTCATCAACTGGCAGATAACGCTTTTTTGTTTAAAACGATAACTACTAGATTCCAACTTCACAGTCTCAGTAAAATCATCACTGATTCATTAGGGATATAGATGAACCCAGTTGGTGAGTCTTAGACAGGACGAAATACTTGCATTGTGATTACCAATTTGGGACTCGTCATCTGGATACGCCTGCATTCCCCAGTGATTGATGATGTTCCCACCGAGGCTCGAACCAAGCGCCCATAGTTTCAAACGCCAAAGCGTCATCCACTAGACTCGATGGGAACATCACCACCCACTGGGTAATTCAGGTACATCCAGCCAGTTGACAAGTCCCAAATTGGACGAAATGCGCTTTATCCTGGCTTCCACTGCTAGTCAGCATCCACCGATTGAATTCTAATTACATACCAAGACATCGTCGAAGCATCTGCACAAAAAGCCAACAGACATGTCAACCTGAGACCGAGCTTTTTGGTCCAATCAATCGACGGTAAAGCCTAAAATTCAGTTAAGTAATACAGGAATCAGTTAAGAGACTCTTTTTTTTCAACGAATTTATGATCAAGCTGTACAATCGTATAGTCGTATATAGTTGTGTTTTTTTTTAAAGTAATTACATTGCTTGAGGAAATTTAAACAAAGGTGTGTGTGTGAATACCTAAATTAGTATTAGTAATAATAGTAATAATACGAAATGCGACTAAAATGTTTGCGATTATAATCATAGTTAAATGTCAAGTGGTAAAGTAATTAATGTCATATACAGAATAGTTTGGTAAAGTGTATCAAGGTTGGAGAGCGAAGTTAAATTTTAAGTTTCCTAGGCAATCAAAATATTACATAACTTGATGTGAATTTTGATAAGATAAAATTTAATATTGTGAAACATTTATCTCTTTAAAATAGTAATACTAAATGTGGGAAAAATGAAACAATACGGGGAACAGTCTAAAGTAGAAATAATAAAGAAAAGGTGCATAGATTAACAAAATATACAAAAATGAAAACTAGGATTTAATCATGAAGTGACATCGGTTACAGTCTAGTTTAAGACACCTCTCTAGCAGTACGCACCTACAATAGAAGTTTGAACTCAGGACCTTCCGGTTACAAGGAAGGCTAGCTAGTAGTAAACCATCAGGTCACTAGAACCCGATCTAGTGGCACTGGTCAATGCCATCGGTAGTGATTATTTGTCCTCACACTTGACTTCCAGGTTTTCCAATGGTTTTCTAACCAGTGCCAGTTCATAATGAATTCCTGTAACCAGTCAAATTCCCGAAAACCAACATTTGTAAATGAAAAATAAATGAATTTTCATGCCTCTACACCCAAATGAAAATAGAGACTGTACGTACTCCTTTTTCACATGAAGTCCTGGCCTGTATTCATGATTGGCCAATGCCTCCACTATCTTTAGAAGCTTAAGACGAAGAAAAGGCGGGAAAGTAAGCAGGAATACTTTAGTTGATCTTAAAATCACGGTTAGGGTTAGTAGAAACCGATCAAGTGTTCTATAATAGAGCTTATCATACACCTCCTTTCTCCCTTGTTAAACGATGCTGGAATGTGTGCTGATCTCCCTATGCAAAGCATTCACTAGCTACGGCCAATATACCTCGCTGCACAAGAGCAGGTGAACTGATGGATGTACATAGAGGCGCGCAGAAAAAAGAGCATATCTTTTACCGAGATGCTGAACAACTTCGGTTTTTAGGTGGTTCTGTCACGAACCAACATCCGTTAAAGGTGACTGAAAGCCAGAAAGCACTTGACAACTGTTCCATTCCATGTTTGAACTTAACTCCGGTGAGTAGTCACAAATAGTTAAAGAATTCCGGCGCAGAGGCGCAGAATGGTCAACGGACTAACATCCTAACTTGCAGTTCCAAGATTCAATCACTAGGAAGGAAGATTGTGGATACAATTTCTTGTTAAATTGTCTCAAAACTATTTGGTTATATGGGTCGACTAGAATTCGGCTACATTTATTTCAGTGTACTCCAGTATACCTGCCATATGCCTTACTACTACCAGCCGCGTTCAAGTTGTATGGGAAGTTAATTCGGATTTTCATCAAACGATATGTGTCATAAGTGGCTCACAGTTGTTTTCATCTTGTGATTGGTACTCAATTACCGCTTCTGGAATAAGTAGCCAATTTTGAAATACGAAGCATCAACTTCTGAAGTTCTCCATAATTAAAATTTACTGCTTCATATGCCGTATGTTATTTGTGAATTTGTTGTGCACGTCAACTATTTCACTGACACACAAAGGATAATTTCATACATTTATTCCTCTTAATGAATTTGAATAAAGCAAGAACTGCAGTAGTTTTTGCAGAATAAAATGCTACCATCATCGGTTATTTCGTTGCCTTCTCGTCAGCTGCTTACACGGAAAAGACATTATGAAATATATCTACTACAACAATTTTGACATACTTGCACAGACAGTTCATTTTAAACAAAAGAGCATCAATCGATCGATCAATATACGCACACACTAAGAATATATACATATATAAATATGCAATATTAAATACTATTCCAAACAATAAAGATCATACACAATGGAAACTTTTCAGCATTTCACATTCGGAAGAAAGAGAGGTGAAAATATCCAGTTACCACCAGGTGGCAGAGCAAAGAAAGACTGATAACCGCTTCTTTCTGGACGCATAAATCACACACATAAATCAGGTTTCAGGCGCTTGATGGAAATGGCTTCAGCAAACTAACTTGAGGAGAATTGAGCTCTTTTGCTATTGATAATTCTGCGGGAGCAGTTACATTGGAAGGACAGAAAACAGAAGGGCATATCTACGATTTTCCGAACATGTACCAAATAGCTTACGTCTTCAGCGAGGAACAAATGCTTCAAACAGTCCCATCCATCGCCGGGCATCTCCTCGACACAGGTCGGTCATGAGGTGGACGTCGAAAAGTCGTTCAAAATTATCAATAGGCAAAAGAGCTCAATTCTCCTCAAGTTAGTTTGCTGAAGCCATTTCCATCAAACGCCTGAAACCTGATTTATGCGTCCAGAAAGAAGCGGTTATCAGTCTTTCTTTGCTCTGCCACCTGGTGGTAACTGGATATTTTCACCTCTCTTTCTTCCGAATGAGAAATGCAGATAAGTTTTCATTGTGTATGATCTTTATTGTTTGGAATAGTGTTTAATATTGCATATTTATATATGTATATATTCTTAGTGTGTGCGTATATTGATCGATCGATTGATGCTTTTTTGTTTAAAATGAACTGTCTGTGCAAGTATGTCAAAATTGTTGTAGAAGATATATTTCATAATGTCTTTTCCGTGTAAGCAGCTGACGAGAAGGCAACGAAATAACCGATGATGGTAGCATTTTATTCTGCAAAAACTGCTGCAGTTCTTGCTTTGTTCAAATTCATTAAGGGGAATAAATATATGAAAGATTACAGCATGTTTTTCCTGATGAGGAAAGAATATCAAGGGATTAATATTCAGTGTTTTGAGACGAAAGTGTGTAAAGAGATTATTTGAAATTATTTTTAATACAACATACTAATGAGTCGCTTTCCAGGTCATCGCTCGAGTGGAATCCGAATGGGGGAGCGACGGTTGCCTCGCCAATGTTATAGTGACATGTAGGAGATCAGGCGAGGAAGAGATGAGGGAATTTGGTCAAAACGTGGATCCAGCTGAAAAGAACGGCAGAAAACAGAACAAGGTGGAGATGTGTAGTTGTTGAAGCCGAAGGTTCCAAACGAAACGCAAGGAAATAATAACAATAACATACTAATCAGTGTGGACATGGTTGGGGTTTGATTTCTAACTGATGTAAGGATAAACCTTACGTAGTTTTGCTGGCTGATAATAGGCCCAGAGAAGAAGTTGGGAGTGCAACTCACAACCTCACATCACAAAGAGACAACACCACCGATAGTGAAACATCAGACCGTAAAGCTCGATGCCATATATTTCTCTCGGAACACGGAGGAATGATAATGAATGCTAATCAGTAGGGGATCATGTAACACATCCGTTCAGATTGATATATTTCAGGTGATTTCCAGGTAAATGTGACATCAGAGAGATGTAGTTCATTGGCTTGATCACTGACGACATTGGTTGGCGTCGTGCTAAATCCCGAATTAGTAGAAGTTAGAATTCATTAACTGGATATTGAATCTTTTCCCATTGGCTGAATGGTATACGAGCTTGTCTTGTAACCAGAAATTCCTGGGTTCGTACTGACGATGGTTCCCAAACTAGGATGAAACAGCTGTCCAGTACTTCAGTGCTTGTTTTCAATGATTCTCTAAGTGATATCAATCCGTCATCAACTGGTGAAAACAAAAATATTGAAAACTTAATATGTAGCCTACTAGTTTATGGGCTGGAATCCTGCTACACACTTCAGCTTCAGTAACTGGGTTGTATCATCCAGCCTCAAAATACATGAACACTCTGTTCCGACTAACTCAGTTTTGGATGCTCTCGAATACTGTCTGTCTGTCTGTTTTCGACGTAGAACTTTGCACAAATGTGCGGAAGTTCAAGTCGCCACATTCCGTGTAGCACGCGAAGCAAGAGAAGAAAGTACAAGAAAAGCATAATAAAAACAGTGAGCAGAGGTGTGAGACAAAGGAGTAATAAAGAAAAACAAAGCAGTTTCATTGGAGATCATAAGTCACAAGGAGTGGGTGCATCTGCGCCATTGAGAACGATTTTGAGCCATGTCACCAATTGTTTCCAACCATAGATTTTTACCGTCCCGAGGACCCCAGCCTGGAAGTCTACACCTTCCTACGTGGCTTAGACCAACTGTTGTGGATTTCATTGACTGGTAAAGCCATGTTTTTGTTTGACCGCCGGTAGCTTTTTTCCAGCCTGACCCTATATCCGCTAACATTGCTCGTCGAGGGAGGCGATGGCTTGGCATACGTAACACATGTCCTAACCATCTCAGTCTATGTAACTTCACAACTTCGTCGATTGATTTCCCCTGTTTACCTAGAACTCGACGCCTAACCTCAATATTGCTCACCTTGTTATACCACTTCACACAGGAGATAAAACGCAGGCACCTATGATCAAAGACAGCTAATCTTTTCATGTCTTCCACTCTCAGTGGCCAGGTCTCACAGCTAGCCATAAAGGAGGACGGAGCGGACTGATGAGCCAACTTTTTCACCCCGCACAGTATGTAATACAAGTATGTTTCACAAAATCTGAGTGTTATCCTTGTTTTCATGCTGATGGAACTCGTAACACTACAACTCATGACTACGCGAAATTTATGTTACTTTGGGCATATATTTCCCCGACTGATAAAGAAACATATGAGCCGACTAAATCTAAGAGCATTGATATTAAAATGTGTATAAATTTAGGCATTTCAAACAACGCGTGTTTAAAGATTAGGCGGAAAGTGTTTGACCATTGGGAGAAATAATGTCACTACTTATCAACACTTCGTTGATGGAAGCTGTCTTCACACAGATAACAGATATCATTGTCTTACATAACCTGTAGTGAGTGTATCATACCTGTCTACCGATCAAATGCCTTTAATAATACACATTAGTTCATTGTGAAATGACCATTAAAAAAGGGAAGATATGAAGAGGTTAGGTGTCTTTTGTCATAAATGTTGCTTTTTATCTGCCATGTTAAGTGGTATATGCTGGTGAGTAATGTTTTGCTTAGAGATTGTGGAGCTTCATAGACTGAGGTGGCTAGAAAACGTATTACTCATACCAAGCGATCACCTTCGTCAGTGAGCAGTCATTACTCTTACATGGCCCAAAGATTTGGAGTGTGTGTACAAAAAACAAAATAACTGCCTTAACTGGCTCTATACTGAAAGTCTGACGGCCAGCCAGAAATAAAAAGCAACAAGGAAGTGTATTAACGGGCCAACCAAGAATCATTTGCCTGGCAAAAATGCTGAAGTAAATGCAGGCAGGTTGGACATACGCTAAGTAGACCGCTGAGTGACAATACTAGTCAGTCAGACGCATCGAGTGTAAGCTCAAATAGGAGGAACAAAGAGCTGAGCGTGGGTACGAGGATGACATGAAGGAGGTCGAATGAGGTCAGCCGTGTAGCCAGCTCAAGAGGACTACACATAACAGAATGAAATGGAGATGTGTTGTTGAAGGCCTATATTTCACTCATAACCTAAGGGAATCGTAATAATAGTATAAGAATAATAATACTCTATTGAATGAATTTCATTTTACGAAAGACTTACCTCTATTTGACTTATTGTTTCGGTAGGAGGTAATCCACCGTTAAAATATCATTGACTTTGTACAACAGACTGTATAAAACGCATTTTATTTTATTTTTTATAACAGTATCATATTGGAAGTATATACAGTTCTTCATTTATTGTTTGTTTAATGATAAATGCAGATAGGAAATAACACTGGATATGCAGAATTTGTCAGTTTATGGTTGATTATCTCATATTTTTCAACCAATCATATAACACCTCCAATTTTGATTGGTCAATAACTAATTGTTTGAATAAGGCAAAAACAACAGTGGTTTGTGCGGGTAATATAAACGATAAACGATGGTACCATATAATATCGTTTGTCTCGTTGGCCTCTCATCAACTGTTGCTTACAGAATAAGTAAATTATTACTAAGTTTATGTACAGAAACGGTTTTTAATATACTTGCAAATTTTACATGATGTCAGTTAACTGAAAGTTCCGACCATACTGAACACTACCCAGAAGACTAAGCACTGAGATCTCAAGCTCAAACAAAGTAAATGTATGCATAAAAAAAGTAAAAGAGTAGCGTAATGAAGACGAGAGGCGCGTAAAAAATGATAAGTAATAAATAATAAATCGAGTTCAACGCTAATCATAGAAACAAGAAACAAGTAAGATTACACTAAATCAAAAGGGGGTATGAGGTTAAAGTCGAAGAATACGTAATCAAATGAAAGATAGGATGAAGCCATCCAGTTATTATGACAAGAAAAGACTAATAACTGCTTCTTTGCGATCACACGTTTGATAGGGATTCCTTCGTCAACCTTGAGAAAATTCGAGCTTTTTTGTCTATTGACAATTTTACAGGATTTTGGGATTTTTACCACATGATCCGCATCACGAAGATGCTTGGTAATGACCCTACTGTATTGTAATATCATCGATAGACACAAAAACTCGATTCTCCTCAAATTTGATGAAGCAATCTCTACCAAACGCCTGAAACCCGGTTCATCTGTTGAAAAAGAAGCAGCTGTCAGTCTTTGCTTGAACTTCTTGGTAACTGGATGTCTTTACTCTCTATTTCATTTGACTACGTAATATTTGGCTATAAACTCACCACCTCTATCCCAAAAGTTTGATACAGTGGAATTTTCCTTGTCTCATGTTTCTATGGTTTCACTTGAACTCAGTGTGCCACTCAATCTGTAGGGTACTCATCATCTGAATCCCTCGTATTTATTACGTAACTCCTTTACCATTGTATGCATGCATTCACTTTGCTTAAACGCTTATGCTTAACGTTCTGAACACTGTTCACTAAGTATGCACCATCCTGTCAACTGACATCAGATAAAATCTGCAGATACGCTAAAACAGTTTTCATGTGGTTGTGTTCTCTGAGAGCTGAATGGTTTATTGGCGAAGCTTTCTTTGTCCTACTAGGCAACATCTTCCGTCAGCGCATACACTTCAATTTTTTGAAGTGAGGTTTAGATTTCTTCACGATTTAATAAATCACTTCCCCTGGCAGCGTACGAATAGATTGGTTGTTTTTGTGTGTTTTCACACCCTCTAGGCTACTTGTATTCGTGCCGATTGTTCCCTTGACCTAAATTTTGACTCTTTGGGTTTGAGATTTCCTTTTTATCGATTGGTAGATTTTGTCTATCTCGATATGTCTATCGATTGATGTGGCAATCGAATACCAGGCTTCTCAAAAAATATTCTCTAGCATCCTTGATATCTCCTCTGTCTAATATTTGAACATTGTTCTTGTTCCAATCGAAGTGATGCCCGTGGTTGACCGTATGCAGTGAGGCGATATGAGGGAATGGATGTCATGTCTTTTGACGTCTTAGTTTATGATCATGGATGCAAAGAGGACGAAACGGATGTCCACTTTGGTCAATGTAGTGTTTGTCACAGTCGATACAACTTATTTTGTAGATGATGTTGCTTTTATCTTCTTTTGTTGTTGAGTCTTTTGGTTAACACAGAGCCAGCTGAGTGAAGTGATCGTGTGTGGTTTGTGTGCGACGAAAATTTCTAAGGGTTTGAAGAGTCTTGCAGTGATTTATGAGATGTCTTTTATATATGGTAGGGCGGTTTTCTTTGTGCTTCCCTTGGTAGGTTGGAAACTAGGAGGTAGATGCCTTTTTATGAAATTCCGTGGATATCCATTCTTCTGGAAGACGTCTATGACATATATCTCCTCAATTTTCCTAAAAGTGGGACTGCTGCAGTTAGTCGTGGCTGGCTCTCTAGAATAGTGTTTGTATGCAATTCCTTTTGTGTGTTATTGGGTTGTTGCTGTTGTAATTGAGTATTTGGTCTGTGTGAGTTGATTTTCTAAATACTTGAATTTGTACTTCCCCTGTGGTTGTTCGCCTGACTAAGGCGTCCAAAAATGGGATTTCGCCCTCGGATTCCCCTGCTCTTGTGAACTAGATATCGTTGAAGACGTTGTTTATTAAGTGGTGAGTTTTTTCTAACTCATTTCTTTTGATCATTACAAATGTGTCATTTACGTAACGTATCCGAATTTTAGGTTTGATCTTTAGTAGGATTATGTTTTCGAGTCTTTTCATCACTGCTTCTGCAATCGAATCTGATATTGGTGATCTCATGGGTGTTCCTTTAACTTGTTCATATATTTGACCGCTGAAACTGAAGTACGCTGTTAGGCATAGGTTTATGCATTCCATCCAACTTGTGGGTTGCATTTTCGAATGTCATGGGAGGTGTTTGTCATTGCTGAGTGAGTATTAACTGCTCCACGGTCTCTTTTGTTAGTTTCTGTCTAGTTGAAAAGTATATAATGTTGTGGCGTCGAAGGATACCATTATTTCTTGGTCCTCTGTTTGAATAGCGTTAATTTGTCTCTAGAAATTGGAGAGGAGAGTTGACGGAATGATCGCGGGGATCCATTAGGTGTTTCAATTTTCTCAGTATATTTCTTTGAATAAATTTTATGTTGGGGTTCCTCGGGGGGACCCCCAGATTTACGCGCTGAAGATGCTGCCTAGTGGTAGGGCAATGAAAGCTTCGTCAACAAACCATCCAGCTCAGAGAACACAACTTCATCAAAATAGTGTTAATAGCTAAAATTATAAGTTAACTGAAACAGTGTTACCATAGATGATGACACAGTGAGTCATAGATTTCACGTCTAACACTGCACTATCTCTAATGCATAGAAATTGAGGCAAACAGTGTATCATCGAGTTTTTGTACTTGGTGGTTCGCCTGACTAAGACGTCCATTCTCAGATTCCTTTTCTTGTGTTAAAACCGTTTCTGTAGATAAATTGAATAATGTCTTTGGACTGTGATGAGTAGCCAACGAAACAAACAATGATAGTATTTTCAAGTAATGATTTTTGTAGGGATTTGTGTTTAATTAATCATGATGAAGTCCTTCGTGCCAATGACAGTATTATCTTATATTCTGCAAAAACCACTATTGTTCTTGCTTTGTTCAAACTCGTAATTTATTATTATTATATTCTTTAATTCATAGAGGAATATAGGGCTTCAGCCGCGCGTCTCCATTGCCTTCTGTTTTCTGCTAACTTTGTCACCCCGTTCCAAGTCTGCCCACATGCTTTCATCTCCTCCCCATCCCATGACCTCCTCCAAGTCACCCTTGCACTGACGACCGACTCGCCGGCCGCTTCTTTTTCGGGTTCCACTCGAGCAACGGCTTGTCTAGTGATGTCACTCACTTGATGGTTTCCTCAGCGTATGGCCAGCCAATCCATCTCCATTTCTTCCTACCTATTTGTTTCACTATCGGTTTCTGCTGAGTTGGTTCACTCATTTCCAGAGATCCCTCCCTGTTGGTGATCTTTTCTGGCTAGCCATCTGATCTTGAGTAGTGAGCGAAGACAACTGTTAATGAAGGTTTGAAGTTTGTTTGAGATGTTGTTTATGACGCTCTGGCTAAGCCTCTAATCCGTATAGTGAGTAGCACTGACTTTACATTGGGGTTGAAAATCCGGATCTTATTTTTGATGGTGAGTGCTGTTGACTTCCACACAGACTTAAGAGTAATGAAAGCCTGTCTTGCTTTTCCGATTCTGACTTTAATATCCTCGTCAGATACGTCCGCCTGTAGTTGAAACGATGCTTCCCAGGTAGGTATATAGGTAAAGGAGGTTGTTTCTTTCAGGTTCCTCCCATTTATGCTGGCTGATTGTTGTCTGTTGTTGTTTTTTCTGTTGGTGTTGGCCAGGAATCTTCATCGCCTACCTCTGTTTTCTCTGTGTTCACTTGAAGTCCTATCTTTGATAGGACTCCTAAAGGGGAATTAAATGTATGCAATGAATTGTTTAACTAGTATCTCAAGTATATATATATATATATATATATATGATTCAAGTATAATTCACAGATGGGAAATAAACACACTTAAGATTAACTTATAATTAAAAAGTGCAAAAAAAGCAAGAAGCCTGTTGAATTGATTCTTCAATATTAAATTTTCTTTACTTAAGATTACAAAGTATTTATAATACTTTAAAGTTATAATTTATTTGAAGTAGCTGTAAAATAAAATAAAATGAAGTTAGGACTACTGACGATTTTTAATTCATGAACTAATTAATAGCCATGATTTTGTGTTTTTTTTAAATTAAATTATATACTACATAATCTATGTCCGGTGAAAGAAATGATGCAGTTTATTTGGACTTACTACTGAATTACCGATATGAGTAGTTGGATCACTACCCACATGAACTAAGAGTGATTGCTAGCTAATCAAATTAATGAATTAAACTAAACACCGAATTGATGTTTTGCTGATTTGCAGCTGAGCTTATGAGAGGTGTATAGCTAAAGTAACTCAGCTATTAGGATTTTATCATGAGCTGACATTGGTTAGAGAACAATTAGGAAACCTGTCCTAGTCTGGAACTCTTCATCAGTACGCAAGGGTCTGAACAAAAGACATTCTGGTTACAAGACGAGCTAGCATGTCGACCACCAAGCCACTGAGACGCCCCATCCGATAGCCAATCCATGAATTCTAACTTCTGACAATTCACGATATAGCGCGACTGCTAACCAATGTTATTGGCGGCGAGTATTTTACCTCAGACCTGGCTTGCTGTACCCCACTGGTCACGCCTTCCCACTAGAACCCAGGTGCGGGCTAGTCGCCAGTGAGCATACGGTTAAAATTCTTATTGAATGAGAAGAAGGCTATTAAAGTGTCCATACAACAAGTAGGAAGAGCGTGAAAAAATGTGCAAAAGGAACATA